CGCCGCCGGGGAGAGACAAAGGTGGCCGCCGCCGCCGCCGGGGAGAGACAAAGGCCGCCGCCGCCGCCGCCGCCCGCTAACGGCTACGCCGGGGGCAGCTTTGCCTTCGCCGGGCGGCATTGCCAGTCCCACTGCCGGCCTGGCTGGCTCCTCGCGCCAAAACTTGCTTCTAAGAGTCGCCCTCTCCCCCCCCCCAAGTCTGGCCGGTGGGCAATGTTCACCGGGGCGGTGGATGGGGGCGGTGGCGGCGGTGGTGGTGCGAGGGGGGGGGGTGGGGTCGGCCACACGGGGGGGAGGAAGGAGGTTCGGCCAGCAAGGCCACCGCCGACCCCACCGCAAGAGAACCACCAAAACAGATTCCGAGAGAGGGAAAAGAAATCTCCAAAGTTTGATTTCCCGAGGCAGGCCAGGGGGGGGGGAAAGACCCTCCACAATGCAGAGCTGAGCACCACCACCGCCACCACCGCCACCACCACCACCACCACCACCACCGCCACCACCGCCAACACCAACCACGCGCTATTTGTGAAGCTGTCACGTGGAAGGACGGAGGTCACGGGGGATTGGGGTTGGCACGACCGAGACGACCGGTGGGGGTCAGACGCCCCGGCGGCGGCCGTGCTCCCTTGCTGTGCCAGGCTAGGTGCACGAGGCCACGGGACAGACCCAGCAGGCGCAATGCGTGGTGGGAGGGGGGGGGGGTGACCAACCGAGATGACCGGGCAGATGCAACCCACCGCCACCACCACCACCACCACCGCCACCACTGTCTGCACCACCACCGCTTTTTCCATATTTCCATCAAAACTCCCGCACCCCTACCCCCTCCTTCTCCCCGTAGCTTGCGCCCCTCCGTAGAGATAGGTGGGTTGGGGGGGGGGGGGGGTGGGCGTCAAGCACGAGGGGTTTGGCGCCGGCCCGGCAGATCGGCCATCGGCAAAAGCCGCGGGGGGAAGTTGTCCCCCCCCCTCGGAGGAAAACAACGGCAGGCTGGCTTGGCTGGCTGGCTTGCTGGCTGGCTGGCTGGCAGGCTGGCTGGCAGGCTGGCTGGCTGGCTGGCGCGGTGCGCAAGGAGTGGGCACCGTGGTGGCTGGGAGATGTTGACTACCTCGCCTGGTGTGCAGGAGGTCGTGGGTTCCACCACCGCCACCACCATCGTCACCACGGTGGCTGGGAGATGTTGACTACCTCGCCTGGTGTGCAGTAGGTCGTGGGTACCACCACCATCACCACGGTGGCTGGGAGATGTTGACTACCTCGCCTGGTGTACAGGAGGTCGTGGGTTCCACCACCGCCACCACCGCCACCACCATCATCACCACGGTGGCTGGGAGATGTTGACTACCTCGCCTGGTGTGCAGGAGGTCGTGGGTAGGAGATGTTGACTACCTCGCCTGGTGTGCAGGAGGTCGTGGGTTCCACCACCGCCACCACCATCGTCATCACGGTGGCTGGGAGATGTTGGCTACCTCGCCTGGTGTACAGGAGGTCGTGGGTTCCACCACCACCACCATCATCACCATCATCACCACGGTGGCTGGGAGATGTTGACTACCTCGCCTGGTGTACAGGAGGTCATGGGTTCCACCACCACCACCATCATCACGGTGGCTAGGAGATGTTGACTACCTCGCCTGGTGTGCAGGAGGTCGTGGGTAGGAGATGTTGACTACCTCGCCTGGTGTGCAGGAGGTCGTGGGTTCCACCACCATCATCATCATCATCACCACGGTGGCTGGGAGATGTTGACTACCTCGCCTAGTGTACATGTGGTCATGGGTTCCACCACCACCACCATCATCACCACGGTGGCTAGGAGATGTTGAATACCTCGCCTGGTGTGCAGGAGGTCGTGGGTAGGAGATGTTGACTACCTCTCCTGGTGTACAAGAGGCCGTGGGTTCCGATCCAGACCCTGGCGACGCTCTGCTGTATATTTGGAATTTGTGGTGTCCCTCTCTCATCATCATCATCATCACGGTGGCTGGGAGATGTTGACTACCTCTCCCGGTGTGCAGGAGGCCGTGGGTTCCGATCCCGAACCCTGACGCCTGAAGTCTGCACGTCTCTCTCCCCGTGGTCGCGTGGATTTTTCCCCCGGGTGACCCGGTTTTTTTTTCCCCCCCGGCCACATTCAGAACTGTAAATTGACGACGGCGATGACGATAACCCGCTTGCCTTCGAGCTCCTTGTCAGTGCGGCCCTCTCCCCCTCTTCACGACCCCGAGAAAGGAGGAATCCAATGAGCTGTAAAGCTCTTTAACACACACACACGCCACACACACACACACACACGCACGCACGCGCGTGTGTGTGTGCGTGCGTGTGTGCGTGTGTGTGCGTGTGTGTGTGTGTGTGCGCGTCCAAGTAAGGGACAGAGGAAGCAGCTGAAAAAAATCGCTGGGCTCTCTCACCCCCCCCTCCTCAACAACAACCGAACAACAACAACCGAACAACAACAACCGAACAACAACACCCCGATACAAATCCGGGGGAGCAGCTTCCGTTGAGCGGGAAAGTGGGGAGGGAGGGAGCGGGAGCGGGGGTGGGGGGTTGCCTAAATCTTCTTCACAGCCGAAATCTACGAGGGGGTTTTCTTAATTGTCCCTCTTCTGCAGAAGCGGTGGTGAGCGGCGGTGAGCGGCGGTGAGCGGCGGTGAGCGGCGGTGAGCGGCGGTGAGCGGCCTCCACCGGTGCCGACGGGTCGAGTGCCAGGGGGACGAAACGTTGGGCCCCGCCTTAACGGCGTGGGCCGGATTCCCCGCGGCAAACGCGCGCGGTTAGCCAAGCGCGCCCAACGGGAGCGCGGCGCGCGGTGGGGAGCGGCGGTGGCGGTGACGGGCACCGGCAGAGAGAGAGAGAGAAAAACACCAACCAACAGAAATGTCCCACGGGCCCCGTCCGGTTTGGAAGGAAGGCCGGAAACCGGTAGGGGCTGGAGGGGTGCCGAAAAAAACCACGAGCGGAGGAGGAAAGAAGGGAGGGAGGAAGGAAGGGGAGGGACGGAGGAAGGAGGAGGCGGCGGCGGAGTGAGAACTCCGTCTACGCCGTGGCGGCGAATTTTGCCAGCGCCGTCACACCTTGAGAAGCCGGTCGAGGATGCCGCACGACTGGGAGCGGTGCCGCGCGGCCAGGGGCGCCGCCGGCGCCGGCGGCGGCGCCTCGCCGGCACCGGCGCCGTCCGGCAGGAGCTCCACGGAGGACCAGCGGCACGCGCCGGCGAGCTGCCGCCCGCCGGCGACAAGCACGGAGGAGACGTGGCACGGGGGGTGGGGGGGGGGGGGGTTGGGGGTTGGGGGGGGTTGGGGGGAAGAGAGGCACACACCGGTGGACACGACAGAGGGGAGGGCGAGGCGGCGCCGGCAATCGCGACACCGGGCGGAGGGAACGCCGCCGCCGCTGCCACCGGCGGCGCCGGCAGAGCCGCCGGCGGCGGACGCAGGTGCCGTGAGTTGGCTGGCCGAGATGGCCGGCTAACACCACGGCCGGCTAATAACACGCACACCGCTAACACCACAGCCGGCTGTAGACACGGCGCTGTTACCATAACCAACTATACACACACACCGCTATAACCACAACCAACTATACACACACCGCTATAACCACAACCAACTATACACACCGCTATAACCACAACCAACTATACACACACCGCTATAACCACAACCAACTATACACACCGCTATAACCACAACCAACTATACACACAGCGCTATCACCATAACCAACTATACACACACCGCTATAACCACAACCAACTATACACACACCGCTATAACCACAACCAACTATACACACACACCGCTATAACCACAACCAACTATACACACCGCTATTACCAAAACCAACTACACACACCACTATAACCACAACCAACTATACACACCGCTATCACCACAACCAACTATACACACCGCTATAACCACAACCAACTATACACACCGCTATTACCAAAACCAACTACACACACCACTATAACCACAACCAACTATACACACCGCTATCACCACAACCAACTATACACACCGCTATAACCACAACCAACTATACACACCGCTATTACCACAACCAACTATACACACACCGCTATCACCACAACCAACTATACACACACCGCTATAACCACAACCAACTATACACACACCGCTATAACCACAACCAACTACACACACCGCTATAACCACAACCAACTATACACACACCGCTATAACCACAACCAACTATACACACCGCTATAACCACAACCAACTATACACACACCGCTATCACCACAACCAACTATACACACCGCTATAACCACAACCAACTATACACACACCACTATAACCACAACCAACTATACACACACCACTACCACCACAACCAAATATACACACACCACTACCACCACAACCAACTATACACACACACACACCACTTACCCACACCAACTTAACTCACTCACACTACCCACACATCGAGGTGACACTCCAAACACACACACACCAACTTGACTCACTTGTCCACCCACCCACCACCAACCTACCCACGTGACACTCCACACACGCACACCCACCCACTCACCCACGTGACACTCCACACACACACCCACCCACTCACCCACGTGACACTCCACACACACACACCCACCCACTCACCCACGTGACACTCCACACACACCCACTCACCCACGTGACACTCCACACACACACACCCACCCACTCACCCACGTGACACTCCACACACGCACACCCACCCACCCACTCACCCACGTGACACTCCACACCCACTCACTCACTCACCCACCTACTCACGTGACACACCACACACACACACCCACACACCCACCTACTCACGTGACACTCCACACACGCACACCCACCCACCCACCTACCCACCTGACACTCCACACACACACACCCACCCACTCACCCACGTGACACTCCACACACACACACCCACTCACCCACGTGACACTCCACACACACACGCACGCACGCACGCGCGATGTCACACACCTCTCTGGCCCACGCAGGCTTTTCGCTGGGATTGTGGTTCTGGTAGTGATACAGCTGCTGCTGCTGCTGCTGATTGGCGTGGGCCGCAGCCGCAGCCGCCGCAGCCGCCGCCGCCGCGGTAGTGGCCGGCGCCGCCGCACCGGTTGCCTTGCCGCCGCCACCGCCCTGCGCCTGCTGCAGCTGCTTGAGGTAGGCCTGCTCCTGCTGCAGGCGCCGGTGCAGCTTCTCGGCCTGAAGCTGCTCCTCCATCTGCTTGCGCTTGTACTCCTGCGGGAGCGGGGGGCGGGGCGGCGGCGACACGCCGGATGACGCGGTGGCGGGCGGGCAAGGCGCACGTACGGTGCCGTGCGCGGCGGCGGTGGTGGTGGTGGTGAAGGCGGTGAAGGCGGTGGTGGTGAAGGTGGTGAAGGCGGTGGTGGTGGTGTTGGTGAAGGTGGTGGTGGTGAAGGCAGTGGTGGTGGTGTTGGTGAAGGTGGTGGTGGTGAAGGCGGTGGTGGTGAAGGCGGTGGTGGTGGTGAAGGCGGTGGTGGTGTTGAAAGGCGGTGGTGGTGGTGAAAGTCGGTGGTGGTGTTGGTGAAGGTGGTGGTGGTGAAGGCGGTGGTGGTGGTGGTGGTGGTGAAGGCGGTGGTGGTGGTGAAGGCAGTGGTGGTGTTGGTGAAGGCGGTGGTGGTGTTGGTGAAGGTGGTGGTGGTGGTGAAAGGCAGTGGTGGTGATGGTGGTGAAGGCGGTGGTGGTGGTCGTGAAAGGCGGTGGTGGTGGTGGTGACAGGCAGTGCTGATGGTGGCGGTGGTGAAAGGCGGTGGTGGCGATAGTGGCGGTGTTGATGGTGGCGATTGTGGTGAAAACGGTGGTGGTGGTGGTGGTGCTTGTGGCAATGGTTGATGAAGGTGTTGGGCGGTGGTGGCGGTGTACAAAGTGGTGGTACATGTCGCCTGACACCCACAGGACAGGCAAGGGACACCACCTTTGACGCACGAACTTTGGTGTACACACACGCAGGGCACAGGCGGTACAAACAAAGACAAAGATCCCCCGTGTAGCCTGTAACAGACTGTAGGGGCAAGTGCTGCTAGCGAGCACCTATGGAAGGCTACCGGCACTGTGGCACACGAGGGGGTGGGTGGCCAGCACCACGCCCGGCCGCCTTTGTCTCCCCAGTGGCGATGTTTACTACACCACCACCGCTACACCAGGTACTAATTTGAGGCCGAGTCGACCCAGGACAGGCCCAGGACCGGTTCAGATAATCGTCACTGGCGGTGTTGGCCGTGAGCGGGAATCTAGTGGGGAGCGGTGGCGCTAACCGCTGCGCCACCACTCCTCACTAGAAGATGCACACACAGTACGCACATACTACACATCCAGGAAGCATTACAATATAACATCGCACACGACACACACAACACAAAACGCTACACACACAAAAGCAGACACTACACACGACCACACACTTAACAAAGGGGACACACACACTACACACACATCACACTAAACACACACACACACACGTACACCCAGACACACACACACACACACGTACACCCAGCCAGACCCACACACACACACACGTACACCCAGCCACACACACACACGTACACACACCCAGCCAGACACACACACACGTACACCCAGCCAGACCCACACACACACGTACACCCGGCAAGACACACACACCCAGTCAGACCCACACACACACGCGCACACACACCCAGTCAGACCCACACACACACACCCAGTCAGACACACAGACACACGAACACCCAGTCTGTCCCAGACACAACAACCGCAATTCGCCACTAAGTGGCGGTGACGTCACCACGACGCTTGTGCCAGGCCATGTGCACCTTGAGGTCACGTGAAGTGTCGAACGCCCACGGGCAAGAGGTCACGGGGCAGACCCAGGTGCCACGGGTCGACTGACTGAGATGACTGAGATGACTGGCTGATGCACCACCTGTGCCCCCTACTGTGCCAACCTGCTGTGTTTTAGCCACCCGGCGCTCCGCTCGTTGTTGTGAGCGTCGCTCCTCCGCCCTCCGTTGTTGTTGGAGGGCAACTGCCTCCAACTGCCCAATAGCGTCCTTCATGAGCCTCCTCCACAGAGGCCGATCTTGACACCGCTGGTACCAGTCATCGGCAAGTCCACTCAGCCCCACGTCCTCCTGTACCACATCACTCCATCTCTTCTCTAGCCCGTGCCGCGCCCGTTTAGCCCCCTCGATCCGGCCGAACAAAAGCTGTTTCGGCATGCGGTGGCTGGGCATGCGGGCTACATGACCCAGCCAAAGCAGCCTTGCCTGCCGGAGGAGCTCACCGATGGGACCTTGCCCAGATTTGTGAGCTCCTCACACAATCCAGCCTGGTTAAACCCAGGATGGATCGTAGGCAGGCCAGCCTAAATGTTTCTAACCAGCGAAGATGTTCCATTTGGGGGGTCCACGTTTCGCAAGCGTAGAGAAGGGAGGGAATGACCGTGGCCGAGAAGACCTGAAACTTAGTGCGGAGCAACAGACCAGGTAGCTTCCACACAGCGTTACGCAACCGATGAAAAGATATTGCCGCTCGACTGATTCGGAGTGAGACCTCTGCTGTTAAACTGGAGCCGGTCATAAGCACACTGCGCTGGTATGGGAAACTCTCCACTCTCTCCACAACTGCCCCATCACTGATTGGGAGGTGTGGAGGTGGAGTGTCCGATGGTACAAAATACCCAAGCAGGTGCTTAGTTTTGGTGGGGCTGATGGTAAGGCCCCTTCTCTTAGTGGCACGCTCCAGTCTCAGCAGCAGCGTCTCCAACTCCTCCTCTGAATGAGCAGCTATTATCAAATCATCGGCATACATAACATGGTTGAGCAATAGGGAGCCATCCCTTGACTGCACCCAGGCATCGATCAGCCTCCCATTATATCTGAACCAAATGAAGATTCCCCCGGTACAGCTATTGAAGGCTTCATGAACTATGTGGTCAAAATAGATGTTAAATAATGTGGGAGCCAGAGGATATCCCTGTCGCACCCCAAGGTGTACAGGGAATGGCTCTGACTCCCGGCCACGTAGTTATACCCGGGCCCGCTCACCATCATGAAGGTCCTTAATGATCGTGAGCAGAGGGTCAGGGACTCCAAAAGCACGAAGAACAACCCAGAGCCCAGGCCTACTGATGGTATCATAGGCCTTCACCAGGTCAATAAAGCAGAGATGTAGGTCTTGCTGGAATTCCCTACACCTCTGCTGTAGCAGACGGACAGAAAATATGACATCTGTGCAGGACCACCCTTTCCTGAAACCGCATTGGGGCTCCGCAAGCCTCTCCCTCAGCGTGCCTGGCAAGGCGATGTTGAATAATCCTTGCCAGGACCTTTCCCGGCACACTGAGGCGTGAGATGCCCCTGTAGTTGTTACAGTCTGTGCGGTCCCCCTTCTTAAAGAGGGGGACCACCAGGGCATCCTTCCAATCCTGCGGAACCCATCCAGTGGTCCAGACTGTTGTTATGATGTCATATAGGGACAGTCTGTGCACAAACGCCACCCTCCCTCAGCATTTCGCTTGGGAGATCATCTCTGCCCGCTGCCTTTCCTGGTCTCAGACTCCGGATCGCCTTCAGTACTTCCTCAACAGATGGCACCTCAGCCAGCCACTCACAGGGGGTGACTTCTTTCAATATTTGAGGCACTGCAGCCTCAGCAGGGTCATCCCCACTTTGTGCCACGATGTTTTCCTGGCTGAGGGATTTCCCCTCCCCCAGGACCTCACAGAAATGCTCAGCAAATCTGCAAACCTGTTCCTGGGGGTTGGAGATTGGATCACCGTTTTTCCCCTGATGGTAATAGGTGTGGCGCTGCAGGTTACTTTTTTGATGGAGTTAAATAGAGATTTGTGACCGCGGGCCACTGAGGCAGACTCCATCTCCTCAGCAACCCGCGACCACCACCCATCCTTGCAGCGCCTCACGGCTCTCCGAACCTCCGAGCAAAGGCTGCGGTAAGCCTCCTCATTCTCTGACGTGGGATTCTGTAGCCGATGACACTGGGCCTGTCGCTTTTTCTCAACCATCCTGAACACCTCCTCTGTCAGCTAGGGTTTCTGGGGAGGTCTGGACCGCGTACCCAAAGCAGCCATTGCAGCTGCATGAGTCACAGTCCTAAACCTCGCCCATTTACCCTCGACATCAGGAGGAGTGGGGGACGATGCCAACCCCAGCCGCAGGCGATGATGAAATTCTCGCTTGCAACTTTCATCAGATAACTAAGATCAGGCCACTTTAGGTTGGAATGGGGTCCTGGGTGTACACCCACCGCCAGAGTGGAAGAATGGCAGGCGCATCTTACAGATGACAAGTCGATAGTCAGAGGGCAGATCAGCTCCACGGTAGGTCCTGGTGTCAAGGACATGGGCTTGTATCCACTGGTCCGTCACTATGTAGTCCAGCAGATGTTCTTGCTTGGACCCGGCATGCATCCATGACTTTGTGTGGATGCGCCGATGCCGGAACAGCGTGTTGGTAATTACAAGCCCATGGGCTGCACAAAAATCTAGCAGCCTCCTGCCGTTGTTATTGAGCTGATCTGGCCCATGCCCTCCAATCACTCCAGACCACGTGCCAGCATCATGACCAACTCGGGCATTGAAGTCACCCAAGAAGATGACTCTATCCCGAGGGGCCACTTTAGCCAGCACCTGTGACAGGAGGTCATAGAAGGCATCTGACTCATCGGCTTTGCCTGCATTCCTCCACGGATGTTCGTCTTCGGTGGGGGCAAAAGTAACCACGACCACCATTCCTCGCCTCCGGTTGATGGGAAGGCGAGCCCAAAGTAGCCTGGGGCTTACAGCTTCCCACACCTCACCGCCACGCTCCCTTCATTCTTTTGTTCAAAGAAGAGCCACACCCTGTTGTTTGGCAGTCTGCTGCCCCGAGTCGAGGACTGTCCACCCCACATGGTGGCAGGAGCCATAACCGGTCCACCGGACCTCCTGAATGCCACAGAGATCCAGGCGGTACCGGTCCAGCTCCCGACAGAGGAGTGGCAGCCTCTCCTCCGCAGTGAGCGTTCGAACATTCCACGTGGCCACCCGTAGTGGCTTTTCGACGTTTCTGGAGGAGCCTCGAGGGTAGAGATTCAATCTCCTGGCTCCGCCAATTGGGGTTTGGCCAGGGGAGACGTCATAGACGCCTGTCCCCCCGGGGCCTCCGGCACACACACGCACACACACACACGCACACACACGCACGCACACACGCACGCGCGCGCACACACACGTACACACACGCACACACACGTGTGCACACGCACGTGCACACGCACGTGCGCACACACACGCACACACACGTACACACACACACGTACACACACACGCACACACACACACACACGGTGACCCCGGGGCGTGCCCGGTGACCCCGTGGCGTGCCCGGTGACCCCGGGGCGTGCCCGGTGACCCCGTGGCGGTGCGGGGTGGAGCACGGCAGGAGGAGCAGCAGGAGGAGGAGGAGCAGGGCAGAGGGCAGCAGAGGAGAGATGCTGACGGGGGGGGTGGTGGTGGGGCAGCCGGGGAGAGCCGTGTGTACGCACGAAGCGTACACACGCGCTGCGTGCGTACACACGCGCTGCGTTTAAAATGCGTGCGCGCACTGCGTACACGCTGTGCGTACGCACTATATACACACGCTGCGTGTGTGTGCTGTGTGTACACGCTGGGTGTGTGTGCTGTGTGTACACGCTGCGTGTGTGCTGTGTGTACACGCCGTGTGTACACGCTGCGTGTGTGTGCTGTGTGTACATGCTGCGTGTGCGTGCTGTGTGTACACGCCGTGTGTACACGCTGCGTGTGCGTGCTGTGTGTACAGGCCGCGTGTACACGCTGCGTGTACGTGCTGTGTGTACACACAGCACACACACGCTGCGTGTGTGTGCTGTGTGTACACGCTGGGTGTGCGTGCTGTGTGTACACGCTGCGTGTGTGCTGTGTGTACACGCCGTGTGTACACGCTGCGTGTGTGTGCTGTGTGTACATGCTGCGTGTGCGTGCTGTGTGTACACGCCGTGTGTACACGCTGCGTGTGCGTGCTGTGTGTACAGGCCGCGTGTACACGCTGCGTGTACGTGCTGTGTGTACACGCTGGGCGTGTGTGCTGTGCGTACACGCCGCGTGTACACGCTGCGTGTGTGTGCTGTGTGTACAAGCTGCGTGTGCGTGCTGTGTGTACAGGCCGCGTGCACACGCTGCGTGTGTGTGCTGTGTGTACAGGCCGCGTGTACACGCTGCGTGTACGTGCGTGCGTTACCAGCAGTAGCGCCTGCTCATGCAGCAGCTGCTGCTGCAGGATCTCAAGCTGCCTCTGCTCCTCCTCTAGCTGCCTCCGAATGTACTCCTGGCGGCGCCGGCGCGGCACGGCACACCGTAACCGTGGCGCGGCACGTGGCACGCCACACCGTGCCACGCCACACCGTGCCACGGCACGCCACACCACACCGTGCCACGCCATGGCACACCATAACCGTGCCACGCCACGTGGCACGCCACACCGTGCCACGCCACACCGTGCCACGGCACGTGAGCACGTTCGGTGGTGACAGTGGCGGTGGTTATGGTGGTGGTTGTGGTGGTGGTTATGGTGGTGTTGGTGGTTGTGGTGGTGGTTATGGTGGCGATGGGTGCGGTGGTGTCAGTGGTTATGGCGGTGATGGTGGTGGTATTGAAAGTGGCGGTGGCGATGGTGGTGATGGGGCGATGGTTATGGTGGTGGTGGTTGTGGTGGTGTCAGTGGTTATGGCGGTGATGGTGGCGATTACGGATGCGGTGATGGTGGTGGCATTGAAAGTGGCGGTGGCGATGGTGGTAATAGGGGCGATGGTTATGGTGGTGGTGGTTGTGGTGGTGGTTATGGTGGTGGTTGTGGTGGTGGTTATGGTGGTGATAGGGGCGATGGTGGTTGTGGTGATGGTAAAGTGGTGCGGTGGTTTATGGCCGGTGGTGGTAGTTTTTCGGTGAAGGAGATACGGCGGTACAATGGAAGTTCCGGTGGTTGTTGTGGTTGTTGTGGTGGTTGTTGTGGTGGTTGTTGTGGTTGTTGTGGTGGTTGTTGTGGTTGTTGTGGTGGTTGTTGTGGTTGTTGTGGTTGTTGTGGTTGTTGTTGTTGTGGTTGTTGTGGTTGTGGTGGTTGTTGTGGTTGTTGCGTTCACCAGCCGGGCGGCAGTCATTCAAAATAAAGCAAACAGCGAAGACACGGACAACGGAGGTGGACACGGGGGACACAGGTACACACAGACAGACACACACACAGACACACAGAGACACACAGACAGAGATACACAGACACACAGAGATACACAGAGACACACAGATAGAGACACACAGGCAGAGACACACAGACACACAGACAGAGACACACAGAGACACACAGACAGAGACACACAGGCAGAGACACACAGAGACACACAGACAGAGACACACAGACAGAGACACACAGGCAGAGACACACAGACAGAGACACACAGGCAGAGACACACAGACACACAGACAGAGACACACGGACACACAGACAGAGATACACAGAGACACACAGACAGAGACACACAGAGACACACAGACAGAGACACACAGACAGAGACACACAGGCAGAGACACACACACGGACAACGGAGGTGGACACGGGGGACACAGAGACAACACGGGCAGGGGACAGGAAAGGGACAAGAGCAGACGAGAGACAGACACACACACACAGAGACACACGCAAAGACACACACAGACACACACACAGACACACACACAGACACACACACAGATACACACAGAGACACACAGAGACACACAGATACACACAGAGACACACACACAGAGACACACACAGACACACAGACACACACACACAGACAGAGAATGTATCCATGGCAGGCAGTGTAGGAGGAGGAGAGAGGGGGAGGGGAGAGACAGAGGCAGTGCCCATAGTGAGACCCATCGCGTTGTCACCGCCACCACCGCCACCACCACCGCCACCACCACCACAACCACCACAACCACCACAACCACCACCACCACCGCCACCACCACAACCAAAACGCCTTAGGTTCGTGCCGGCGAGCCGCATCCAGTAACCCCTCCGCCCCCCTACGATGCGGTGGGGGGGGGGGGACCCCCCGGAGAATGACATCCACGTGACCACAGGGAGAGAGACGAGAGAGAGACTCGAACCACGTGGGGTGCTGGGAGTGAACCCCCACGACCTCCCGTATGGCAGGAGAGGTTGCTAACATCTCGCCCACGGCGGAAGGAAGCACACTCACGTACACTCACGCACACTCACTCGCTCACTCACTCGCTCACTCACTCACTCACGCACACTCACTCACGCTCACTCACGCACTCACACACTCACGCACTCACTCACTCACGCACTCACTCACTCACGCACACACGCTCACTCACTCACGCACACACGCTCACTCACTCACGCACGCACGCTCACTCACGCACATACACGCACGCTCACTCACGCACATACACGCACGCTCACTCACGCACGCTCACTCGCTCACGCACGCTCACTCACTCACTCTCACTCACTCACGCTCACTCACGCTCGCTCACTCACTCACGCTCACACTCACTCACGCACACTCACGCACACTCACGCACTCACACTCACTCATGCCCACGCACTCACACTCGCTCACTCACGCACACTCACTCACGCACGCCCACTCACGCACGCCCACTCACGCATGCCCACTCACTCACTCACACTCATGCACACTCACTCACACACACACTCACTCACTCACACACACTCACTCACGCGTGCACACTCACGGATCTTAATGTCACCCGGCACACCACATCAAGTTCCACGCTCGCTGCAGCTGTGGCCACGCCGAGTCACGTGCCGCCCAATTCAGCGGCAGCGTGCTAACCGCAGCGCCACTCCTCCCGCGCACACCACCCGGTGACCCTGTGAGCCGGTGACCCTGTGAGCCGGTGACCCTGTGAGCCGGTGACCCTGTGAGCCGGTGACCCTGTGAGCCGGTGACCCTGTGAACCGGTGACCCTGTGAGCCGGTGACCCTGTGAGCCGGTGAGCCGGTGACCTTGTGAGCCGGTGACCCTATGACCCGGCGAGCCAGTGACCCTGTGAGCCGGGTGACCCTATGACCTTGTGAGCCTGTGACCCTATGACCTTGTGAGCCAGTGACCCTATAACCCGTGACCCTATGACCCTGTGAGCCAGTGACCCTATGACCTTGTGAGCCGGTGACCCGTGACCCTATGACCTTGTGAGCCGGTGACCCTATGACCCGTGACCCTATGACCCTGTGAGCCGGTGACCGTGACTGGGTGAGCCGGTGACCCTATAACCCGTGACCCTATGACCCTGTGAGCCGGTGACCGTATAACCCGTGACCCTATGACCCTGTGAGCCGGTGACCCTGTGAGCCGGTGACCCTATGACCCGGTGACCCTATGACCCGTGACCCTATGACCCTGTGAGCTGGTGACCGTGACTCGGTGAGCCGGCAACCCTATCACCCTATGACCCTATCATTCGGTGAGTCAGCAGCGACCCTATGACTTGGTGACTCGGTGACCCTATAACCCGGTGACCCTATGACCCTCTAACCCGGTGAGCACGTGACCCTATAACCCGATGACACTATGACTCGGTGACCCTATGACCCGATGACCCTATGACTCGGTGACCCTATGACCCGATGACCCTATGACTCGGTGACCATATGACCCTATGACTGGGTGACCCTATGACCCGATGACCCGATGAGCCAGTGAGCCGGTGAACCTATGACTCGGTAAGCCTATGACCCTATGACCATGTGACCCTATGACCACGTGACCCTATGACCCGGTGATCCTGTGATCCTATGACCCGGTGACCCCATGACCCTATGACCCCATGACCCTTCGAGTCGGTGAGCCCGGCCGGACCTGCTGCTCGCGCTCAGCGATACGCCGCTCCTCCTCTTCTCGGCGCCGGCGCTCCAACTCCATCCGCCGCAGTTCCTCCTCCTCCTCCCTCCTCTGCTGCTCCCTCCTCAGCTCCCGGTCACGCCTCTGCCTCTACAACGCCGCCGCCGCCGCCGTCACCACCACCACCACCGCCACCACCGCCACCACCACCACCACCACCACCACCACCACGCGTGTGTGCGCGTGCGTGTACACGCCACGTGTGTGAACGTGTGTACGGTGTGTGTGTGTGTACACGCCGTGTGTGTGTGTACGGTGTGTGTACACGCCGCGTGTGTGTGTACACGCCGTGTGTACACTCCGCGCGTGTGTGTGTACACTCCGCGTGTGTGTGTGTACACGCCGTGTGTGTGTGTGTACACTCCGCGTGTGTGTGTGTACACTCCGTGTGTGTGTGTGTGTACACTCCGCGTGTGTGTGTGTGTGTGTATGGTGTGTACACTCCGCGCGCGTGCGTGTGTGTGTGCGTGTACACGCTCCGTGCCTCGCGTGCGCACGCTGCATCCCGCTCATCTCCCGTGCCCGCTCCCGACTCCCACCGCACGCCTACCGGCGGCGCTTGCTTGCTTGCCACGCGCGCGGGGGCTACGCTTCGCCGACTTGCCGCACGTGCCGCTGACGTTTACCAGGGCCACCGCCGTCTACCAGGGCCACTCGACGTCCACCAGGGCCACTCGACGTCCACCAGGGCCACCGCCGTCTACCAGGGCCACTCGACGTCCACCAGGGCCGTCCGAGTGACGTGGCCGCAGAGCGAACCGCCAACGTCCGTGCACCGATGGCGCCGCCGGAAGGCGAAGACGAATCCGCGACGGGGCGGATGATGTCAACGCGGGAGGGAGCCAATCGGCGTCGAGGGTCTCGGGCTCACTCCGACCCACGCAAAATCGTCGTCTTGAGGGCCGGAAAGTCGCGCGGCGACGCCGTTTCGCTTTGGCGGCCGCAGATGTTTGGCATTCGAGATGTCGCGGCTTGAGCCGTGCTCGAATCGAACTGCGGCTCAAGCTGTGACGTTTTTTAACACGTGTGTCTACACTATACACTACTATACACTACACTATACACTAAACTATACACTACACTACACACTACACTACACACTACACTACACACTACACTACTACACACTACACTACTACACACTACACTACTATACACTACACTACTATACACTACACTACTATACACTACACTATACACTACACACCTAAACACTGCTATACACTACACACTACACTACATTATACACTACACTATACACTATACACTACACACCACACACTACACTATACACTAGTGCTGTACTAGTAACGAATTGGCCACGTTCTGTTTACGTGACCAACCCTCTTACTGATTGGCTGTGTCGGGTGGTGGCGGGTTCCACGACACATCTCTATTTGCGTGATCTCACCCAAGAAAAACCTGTATTGTGGATGACATTGTTCGCGAACGCCTGATTCGTGTAAAACCGATTTCAGCATATATATTTTTTTAAAAACCCCATTTAAAATGCCTAATTAAATTTATCCGTATAACACTGAACGAATTTTTCTTTTTTTTTAAAACAACGTAACAACTAAATTTTGTCGTCGCGAAACGATTTTGAAAAAAAACGATTGCGTGAACAATCACAAAGGGCGTGAGGAAAATCTGGGAAGAAACCGTCCGAGCGGAGCGGGCAGAGGGAAAACGCTGAAGCGGATCGAGGAGGAGGTGGATCCGGGAGTTGGGATTGACGCGGACACGGGAAAACCAGGAGTGGAAGTCGCGTTTCCATGGAAGCAGGAACGAGGAGACGAGACGGAGGAATGGAGTGGAGCGGAATGGGGCGCGTAGCACAGGCGTCATGATCGCAATCACGCGCGCGTCATGATCGCAATCACGCGCGCGTCATGATCGCAATCACGCGCGCGTCATGATCGCAATCACGCGCGCGTCATGATCGCAATCACGCGCGCGTCATGATCGCAATCACGCGCGCGTCATGATCGCAATCACGCGCGCGTCATGATCGCAATCACACGCGCGTCATGATCGCAATCACACGCGCGTCATGATCGCAATCACGCGGTTGATTGCGCTCAGGACGGCCCGCGCACAAGGTGATTGGTCCGCACAGACACACGTGATCACAATCAGCTCACACACAT